ACGTTTATCAAGAGCCCTGAAAACACTGTGGGAATTTCACTGGGATAAAACCTTTAATAAAGAACTTACGGAGGGTGAAAGTAGAAAATGCCCGGGCAGGCCGCCTTACCACTGTTCGCGCGTGTTCTCTATTCTGTCAGTACCTCGTGTTCGTGCAGGAAACGCAAGTAAAAACAGGAAAATAAAAGTCGCCCCAAATCCCCAAACCCAGAGGTGGTCACGGACAGCGTTTTGGTGTTTAAACGACCGGACCCTTCTACGTGTATAATTACACATGCAAGTTTGCCGACGAGATTTCACTATTAGGACTAGACTGCTCGTGATGTTCTGTCTTGTGTCTCAGTTTACCCCTCCCCATAACAAACCAGGGCGAACATCGTTCAGGATCAGAAACAGACCTTCTCAACATGTTTCCTGCTGCATTGGTGTGTGTGTGTGTGTGTGTGTGTGTGTGTGTGTGAGTGAGTGATTTCTTAACCTGTCTCATCACTGGACGTTTATAGACAGCCTCGTATTTTTCAGCTTCATAAAGCTTCAGCAAATGTCTTCATAGCTAAATACTTAAACACATCTTCATCCTTTTTCCTTAGGATAAATTCCAACGTGGTCTTCTGATAAAAATAATTCAATTGCACATCCAGCCAAAAGTGTGCAGTTCTTGACCTCATGTCACCAGTCAGTCTGAGTCTGACTGTGGAACTGATACTCCTTATCTGTCCTCGTTTCTGGGGCTGTGCCCCCGGTTCCTCACATGTAAGCATGGTGTCATTAGCGCTCACCTCTCCAGGCTCCTTCATCCTCTGTCCATCAGTCGGGGGACAAATGGCACCTGTTCTTACTGTCATTCACAATGCCTTCCTGTTTGCCTGTCCTGTTTTGTTTTTTTAAATCAGAGCTGAGCTTAAATCACTTACACTGTGGTTTAACCAGAAACACTTCAACTGCTTATGCTTTTCAATGTTCAGTTGCTGTTTTAAAATAAGAGTGTGTAAAGCTCGTGGCTGCTGATGAACAGGATAGGCACACCTCACCGGATTTCGTTTGCTTTTGTTACGTATTTAATTTTGCTGAAAAGTAATTTAATCTGCTAATGGAATCTTCCTTTCTGCAATAAGAAAAAATTGGGGGAATTGTAGTTTAGTAATTATAGTTAGTATTGGACTAATTTCCTCCGCAGAGACGGGGGGTTTTGGGTTAAAAATTTCTGTATTTTAAGAGCTGAGCCTCATCCTTCTTCAAATTCAGGGTCATTGCTATTCTCTGATGAGAGGGTCGCTCCCAAGGGGGAAAGGACCACGAGGAGTTTGGTGTCGGATGCCCTGTGACCTCACCGATGGAGGAGATGACCCCCACCTCTAAGCGAGGGGGACCACCTCTAGAGCACCCACTGCCGTGCGGGGGCAGTAGGTGTCAGCCTACCTGCTTGACCCGCCAGCAGCTGAACCCAGTAAGCCTTTCACAACCAGACTTAGCACCACAAACCCACCTGCAAGTTTCTACTTCCTGTAACAGTAGCGAGGGGTGGGGAGCAGACAGCTTCCTTCTGATTGGCTGGGATCCCTGATCACAAGAGTGGGAAGGGATTTTCTCTTGATCCATGGGCGACGGGTACAGAACATGCCCAGGGGCTGCTGACACGGAGCCCGGTGCCTGTGTGCGGACACGCACCAGTCCGCCTCTCCCTGCTGTCTGCCGAGTCTTGCTGCACATACTTCAGAGCTCTTTTGTTAAGCTCATACACTTTTATGACTGTTAGGACCTCGTGATAAATTGACACTTTCATTATTATGAAATGTCCCTCTTTATTTCCAGTGATACCTTGTCTTCACGTGTCTTAGATCTGATGTTAATATAGTGACAAATGGTGTGCCTTCCCCCATCCTTTTGCTTTCAGCTTATCTGTGTATTTACATTTTTTTAAAAAACAAACTCTGGTCCCAACTTGATTGATCTCCTTTATTTATTTTGTTTATTTAATGGAGATGCTGGGGATTGGACCCAGGACCCCCGTGCATGCTAAGGGCACGTGCTCTACCACTGAGCTCTACCCACACCCCTCTGTGCATCTACATTAAAAGTGCGTCGCTTGTAGACAGCATATCACTGGGTCTCCCTTTTTTACATTCACTCTGAGTATCTCTGCCTTTCTTCGGAGAGTCTTACTCTCTACATTGACTGTAATTATTGATAGGACAGGAAATCTGTCCTTTTGCTATTTGTCTTCTGATTGTCTTATTTTTGAGTTGATTTTTAGAATTCCATTTTAACTTATCTATTGTCTTCTGGAGCTATGTCTGTTTTGCTTTTTTCCCCTGTGGTTGCTTTAGGGGTAACAGTGTACATCCTTCACTTGTCTCTGTCTCTTTAGAGTTAACATTGTATCATTTCACATAAATGTAAAAGCTTTGCAACTGTAAAAAAACAACCTGTTTGCCCCGCCTACTTAAGCTACAGTTGTGTGACGTTTACACCGATATGGTTGTGGTTGTCTGAGCAGCTACATTATAAGGAAGAGGAGGCGCCCACTTCTGGGGTGCACCTGGCTCCTCGCGCCATGGCCTCTCAGCCCTCCTGCTCTTTACCTGGCCACAGCTCTTTGTAATTGGCGCCCTGAGAGCCGTAGGCAGGGCTGGGGATCTCGGACAGACCTGTGACAGCGACACAATCGGGGCACAGAGTGCCTGCAAAGGGGGCTTTTCTGCCCCCACCTGGCGTTTGGGAAGCTTGTCTCTGAAACTCATGTGGTTGATCCAAACTGGTTCTGAAAGGCAGACTGTAAGAAAAGCACCTGAAATGGAACATTATTTATAAGGCCAGAGAATAATATTGTACTCTTGCAGTCAATACATTTTATTCTTAAACCAGGGCTACTCACGCCTTTGATTCACCAGCAAGGTGCTACGGAGACGGCTCGTCTTGGAAGACTTGTGTCAAAAAGCAAACCCAGCAACCTGCAAGCAAGTGAAAAGATGAAACTATTAGAGGCATCAAAATAATAGGGCAGCCCCTAGGACAGCCATCAATAATGCAGCAGATGGCAAGGGCATTTTTCTCACTAAAGAGAATATCACAGATGCGTTTACTCTGAGCAGGGAACAACCCTCCCAGCAGAGGAGGCTGGGCTGCTCAGCAGGGCTGCTTTGAGTCCCTTCTACATAAAACATGGATTTTCATCTTCTGCAAAGCCGTCAGCTTTCCCAGCTCTTATCTCTGGGTAGCAGAGCAGCGCCGGGAGAAGCTCGCGTCCGCGCCGAGGGTCTTCCCCAGATCCCTGCTCTGGGTGGCTCAGCCCCACGGCTGGGCGCCCCCACGCCTACCCCTGTCCCGCGGTGTCTGCGGGGTTAACCGCAGCAGCTGCTTCCGGTATCCTGGGCAAGTGATCTCATCCCCGACTTCACTAGATGGCATGGAGGCCACCTGACACCCAGAGAGCGCCTCCGTTTTCCTCCTCCCCGACTCAGCTTTTGTCAACATCCCCCTGCTCTGCGTGGAGACGGCCCCAGTAACCCGCCTACTTGCTTGCATTTTCAAAACCTCTCTTTCTGCTGGTTTCTACATTTCCGATTTCCCTTAACTTGAAGATAGTTGGTACAGGCTTCTTTCTTCAAGAGACTTTTCAAAATTTCCTTCCCCTTTGTGAAAAGGTGGCCAGTTGTTAGTTTAATTTAAACCAGTCTATTTAGGAAAGATAAAATGAGTTCCCCCTAAAAAAAAAAGTGAAGGCCCACTCCAAGGCCATACTTGGTGAAAGCACGTAAGAATTGTTCAGTTTTGTTGTGGGCAGTGACAGACCTCTTTTAACAGCAGTGGGTTTTTCCTTGCATAAAAAAGGCGAAAGAGTAGGAAATCCAGCATCTCCACCAAGTATTTATCGAGTCTCATTTAATGCACTGCTTCTCAAATTCCGACATGAATGCAGATTCCCAGGGGATCCTGTTAAAGTGCAGATTCGGACGCCTGGGTCTGGGGTGGGGCCCGAGACTCGGCGTTCCTAGCAAGCCCCCAGGTGGTGTGGACCCAGGTCTACAGGGCTCTAAGCTGGGGCCACGTCCAGTGACTGGCACACTAAACCACTGTCCGTCTACTTGGGAGCAGTGAGAATCCCCCAAATGTCTTTTATTATTAGAGCCTTAATTTTCAGCTCTTGTTGTGGAATAAGGCAACATTTCATAACTGTTTTTGTTGAATATGTAACTGGTTTTCAACACAGAACACTGATGCTAGTAAATCATGGTTGAAAATGGTTTCAGCTTGATTTTGTCAGTAACGGTTCAATCACTGACCAGCGTAACCACCATCTTAACCAGAGAGAAGCCTGTGGCTTTCGTGGGGATGAAAATGGTTGATTACAAGTACCAGTGACAAGGATCAAACCACGGGGAGTGTAAACCGATGTTTGACGGGAGCAGTGTTTACCTCAGACCTGCCTTACACAGAAAGCCAGAAACCTCATTTGTATCAGGCCAGAGGTGCTCAAACTTGAGACTGCACTGGTGGGGCAGGGGTGTGTGTGTGTGAAAATGCGGGTCTCTGGGCCTCACCCACCCTCAGCTGGTCTGATCCGGAGGGTGGGGTCCCAGCATTTGCATCTCTGGAAAGTCCCAGAAGATGCTGACTGGCTCCCTGAACCACAGCTTGAGATGCACGGCCTCAGACCGTTCGTTCAGGCTGGCATCTTACAGGGAACCTGGGGGGTGCCCTGCCATCTCCTGCCCAGGGGCTCTGGGCGCTCGTTTGGGTGCTGGACACTGCATTGTGGCTTAAGCTGCTAGTTTACTTAACATATTCCTGTTTCCATAGCTTTTCTCAAAAAGCTCTAAACACTTTATTAATGGTGTCAGACATGAGATCCTTGCCAAGGAACCAGAGAAGCATGTCTAATGTAGAAGAGTCCACACTTCCCCCTCCAGCCGGGAGAACGTAGCAAGAGCGAGACTTCTCTCTCCTTAGTGACCACCCCCCACCCCAAATATGTGCTAGAGTCATCTTTAGTGTGTGTCATCTGACTGACCAGAACCATCTTTGGTCTGTCATTAAGGAAGTGTGTGAGTGTGTTTAATTTTAAAGGCAGTGTGATGTGGGCACAGTCCAGTCTCCGGATCACAAGTTCTGAGTTCTGGTTCTGACTCAGCCGCTCATCATGGGACCTGGAATAAGTTATAATCTTCTCTGAACTTCAGTTTCCTCAAACAGGGGGAGACAACCCAGAAAGCATCAGATGATGCTGAAGATCATCTCCAGCTCTGAGAGTCTGACTTGCCCACTCCTCCCATTCTTGCCTTTGGATGTTTTAAGCATTTTTGCATAAACTCACAGAAAGAAGACATAAGAATATATGTGTGTGTATAATTAAAATACTGAAAAATTTTAAGTAAGGCTAGAAATATTTTTATGATCTTGTGCTTGAGCAGTAAACGCACTGTGTCCCACATGTTGGATTTGAACTCTGTGGTAGCGCGAGTCCCTCACTGCCTTGTCTGCTCCCCGCTCTTTTGATGGAATTGTCTCAACCATATTAAATAGATGCAGGCGCACAGACTGGCTCCTGCACTCGCCAGTGTGTACCATCAGGCAGGCCTCAGAGCTCTCCTAGGACTTCATCTCTGTCTGGTCCTGCACCCCACCTGGGGGCGGACACCTGGGGAGGTACCGCCAAACCCCTGCCGGCCTGCTGCAGCCCCCAGCCCTGCTCTGCTGTCTCTCAAAAATGTAGCTGCAGAAATAAAAGCTCCTCTAATGCCGCAGAGCAGGTTTGCTGGATCAAACATGACTGCTCCGTAGGCACTTGATGGTTTGAGCCAAGCTGGAGGACGGGCGTCTGCCTGTACGTGTCCGGCAGGTGGTCACGCTTGCTGTCGTCTCTCTGGTCATGACCTGCGGCTGCTGCGTCAGAGCGTTCGTTTGGCTCAGCATTACTGATTGATTGACCCTGTGGTGTCCCTTTCCTGAGCTGGGAAAGCATCCACACAGCAAATTCAAGAAAGGATGCCTTCCAGGAGCTGACCACAGAGGCCCTCTTCCTGGGGAGCCCAGCACGCTGCTGGGAGGTGCGCTGCGCGTGCCCCTGTGGATGATGGCGGGGCGGGGGCTCTGCCCTGGGGGTGCGCGGGTCTGCTCTTCCCACTGCTGCTTTCTCCTTTCTGTGAAGGCAAGCTAGTGACTCTGTAATTGGAAGGTTTGAAAACAGTGCCGTTCGGACTTACGTGTTCCTCCACATCCCCCAGGGATCTGTTAGCCTGCAGGTTCTCATCAGGCAGGTCTCTGGGGACCCCAGTCTGCGTTCTAGCGAGCTCCAGGCGCCGTGCCTGCCGCTGGTCCCTGGACCACTCTTCGAGCAGCAAGGCTTTGGGAGAGACTGCATTGTAACCCCTTGCATTTCTTCTGACTCGTCTTCTGGTGCGTGGAAGTCGGCACTATTTTGGTGAGCACAGACTCTTGAATAAAAACGTTCGCCCAAAAGTATGCATAATGCTGTGCCCCCTCAGCCTGTCTCTTCTGATTTCTTTCCCTCAGGTCCTGGCAAACCAAGCTGGGAGGGACTAAAGTCTCCTTCCCTGTAATTTATTTCCTTGTGAATTAGGAAGTCAGGAAGAGTGCCCTGGAATCACCAGCGTGGGGTATATACCAAATGCAATCGAGCAACCAGTCAGCCGGTTACGGGGAGCCCTCTGTGGGCTGGATTCCGTGCTGGGTGTTGGGAGGGCAGAAACCACACAGTCATGAGCTCCCTCGGTGGAACTGCATTAGGAAACACATAATTATCAGCAGACGTGGACTATTATGACAGAGGTCAGCCCAGTTTGCCGTGTGCTGTAACATCTTACGCAGCAAAAACCAAGAGTTAACATGTATTTATTGAAGGTGTGCTCCTGGAACAGAGGCTGGGGGAGCGGTGCCACGTTTCACGTCCGGCTCGGCTCAGCCGTCCCACCAGGATCCTCCCCGGAGGAGACGGTTTCCCCTTCCTTGCTCTCCTACACGCTCTCTGCTCCCTGAGCACTTAGTAATCAGTGCCAGGGCTGTGAGATTAGACCATGAACCCTGCGGGAGCGGGTGTGTGTCTTAGTCCCCTGTGGTTCCCCGCAGCACGGCCACAAAGAGGTGCTCGGAAGAGGCGGGACAGTGTCCACTGGACCCTGGAGCGTGGCGTGAACCGGCTGGACCACAAGGAGGGGGAGCGTTTCCCTCCTGCCCTTTCCCTGTGGTCTGAGGCCCAGTGACGCGTTCATAGAAGGACACCTCAGAACAAAGTGCCTTCAGGTGGAGAGGCCTTTGGCGTTGGGGTGGGGGTGTCGCGGGCAGGGAAGTGTTGGCTGCTTCTCGGGACGGAAATGTGTGGGGCCGCTGGGGTGAGTTGGATGTCAGTGACTGAGTTGCAACACAGATGTTACTGACATTTGAAGGACGAGTGCTCTTTTCCTAGCCTCAATTGAGAAAAACAAGATATTGATTGATTTCCCAAAGCTTTGGCTGGGCTGAATCTGTTTATTGGTACAGGATGAACTTGTGCAGCCTCGATTCTGTATCGACATTCACAGATTTAAAATCCTGTTTTCACTTAGAAGAGAGGAGAGGAAACCAGCGGGAAAACACTCACCGTTCAACCTGAGTGAAGTTGTCCATTTGGGAGGAACAATTGAAGTTTTCTCACACTTCATAGAGCTTTTCCCCCTCCTTCTTCTTCCAGCCAACTCAAGGCTCTTCCCATGGCCGAATCCATTCATTTTCTTTGAGGAATGTCTTAGCCAAGGGTTTTGATTGTTTGAAAATATTTGTTTATTTTTTTAAACTTTATGTTCATTTTACAATACCATATTTTAAAAATTGAAGTACAGTTGATGTACAATGTTACATGCTACAGGTGTGTAGGATAGTGATTCACAGTTTCGAGGGTTAAAGCACTGGCCACGTTCCCCCTGCTGCGCAGCACGTCCGTGCAGCTTATTTTCCCCTGAGACTTTGCACCTCTTACCCCCCCGCCTTGCCCCTCCCCCTCCCCGCTGGTACCACGAGTTCCTTCTCTGCCTCTGTGAGCTGGTTTCTTTTCTGCTATATTCGCTAGTTCGTTGTATTTTTCAGATTCCACACGTAAGTGGTATCTTACAGTATCTGTCTTTCTCTGTCTGCCTTACTTCACTCGGCATGATGCCCTCCGAGTCCATCCATGCTGCACCCCAGAAACTAACACAACATTTTATATCAACTGTACTTCAATTTAAAAGCAAACAACCCATTAAAAACAGGGCAGAAGAACTGAACATTTTTCCGAAAGAGGAAATGCAGATGCCCACAGGAACATGAGAAGTTGCTCAACATC